AATGCGTGCGCGGCATTCAACACGCGCTCGCCAGTTCCCGTCGGCAACCGCCATCGCGGCCGCATCAGCTGTACCAAACCGGCTGGCCGGTGTGACTTCGGCCCCCAGTTGTGCCAGCTTTGCCTCTTATGTTGTGGGAGGGCGGGTGGGACTGGGCATGCCATGCTTGACTCGCTCGAGCTGGCTAGCTTGACTCCTACTCCTACTCCTACTCCTATCCTTATTCCTTATTAGAATATACTCCTACTCCCCCCTCAGGCCGGCACATAGCGGGCGCATCCGGGTGGTCCCATCCTAACCTGTAAAAAACAATACAAAATCAAAAATTGTCTTATTTTTTCCTCTCGACATGGACGTCCTGTCGTCCACGGCGATAATCCATTGCAAAAAATACCACAAAGAGCACACGCGCGCGTTCATGTCAGAATCCTACCGAACACCGTGTGTTTGCAAGCATTTCAACATAAAAACATCAAAAACCCAATGCTTTTTCACAAAAATTGTACAAATTTCCCGCCCGGGCTCTCTTGCTGTAATCATAGGAAAACCATAGGAATCTTAAGAATTCTGTCAAATCCAGCGATTTCACGTCATCGCGCGGTGCACTCGCGATGCTCTGTCATGCACCCAGGCCGCGAATCCTGTGCAAAAAATACCACAAAGAGCACACTCGCGCGTTCATGTCAGAATCCTACCGAACACCGTGTGTTTGCAAGCATTTCAACATAAAAACATCAAAAACCCAATGCTTTTTCACAAAAATGCTTTGGGGTGTCCTGTCAGACCGTCGGGCTTCCTCCGGCCACCTCTGGCTTACTGCGGTGTACCGGGCCATTCTCGACTCGTCTGGCAATGCGTGCGCGGCATTCAACACGCGCTCGCCAGTTCCCGTCGGCAACCGCCATCGCGGCCGCATCAGCTGTACCAAACCGGCTGGCCGGTGTGACTTCGGCCCCCAGTTGTGCCAGCTTTGCTTCTTATGTTGTGGGAGGGCGGGTGGGACTGCGCATGCCACGCTTGACTCGCTCGAGCTGGCTAGCTTGACTCCTACTCCTACTCCTCCTCCTCCTCCTCCTCCTCCTCCTCCTCCTCTTCTTATTCTTCTTCTTATTCTTCTTCCTCTTATTATTATTCTTCTTCTTAGTATTATTCTTCTTATTCTTCTTAGTATTATTATTATGCTTATTATTCTTCTTCTTATTCTTCTTCTTCTTATTATTATTCTTCTTCTTATTCTTATTATTATTATTCTTATCATTATCATTATTATTCTTCTTCTTATTATTATTATTATTCGTCTTATTATTCTTCTTCTTATTCTTATTATTCTTCTTCTTCTTATTATTATTCTTCTTATTCGTCTTCTTATTCTTCTTATTAATATTATTCTTTTTATTATTTTTCTGATTCTTCTTATTATTATTCTTATTATTCTTCTTATTATTATTATTCTTATTATTCTTATTATTATTCTTCTTATTCTTCTTCTTATTATTCTTATTCTTATTATTATTATTGTTCTTCTTATTATTATTATTATTCTTCTTCTTCTTATTCTTATTCTTCTTATTATTATTATTATTATTATTCTTCTTCTTCTTATTATTATTATTTTTCTTATGCTTCTTCTTCTTCTTCTTCTTCCTCTTCCTCCTCCTCCTCCTC